AAGGGAGCTTCATAAACAGGGAATTGCTGGTCGTGCTGCAATTGAGAAGCCACTCATCAGTGATGCTAATGCCCGTAACAGGAAAAGGTGGTGTTTAAGTCATAAAGCCTGGAGTATAGAGCAGTGGAAGCGAGTGTATATGGTCTGACGAGTCTTCTTTCGCATGTTTTCCCACTTCTGGCCGAGTTTACGTCTGGAGAACTCCATCTCAAGCCTATAATACAGACTGCTTTGTGCCAAGAGTGAAACATGGCGGGGGTTCTGTTATGGTTTGGGCAGCCATATCGTGGTTCTCTGCTAGCCCCATGATAACTGTGTCAGGGCACATGACTGCCAAGACTTATGTGAACATTTTGGCCGATCAAGTTCATCCCATGGTACAAACTTTTGTTCCCCGATGGTGATGGTGTCTTCCAAGACGACAAGCCCTTGTTCACACAGCTCACATTGTCCAGGACTGGTTTTCTGAGCACGAGGATGAGTTGTCCCATCTCCCCTGGCCACCACATTCACCAGACCTGAATATTATCGAACCTTTGTGGTCTACATTGGAACGGAAAGTGCGTTCTTGTATCCACCCCCCACCTCGTTATCTGAACTTGCCACCGTTTTGGCAGGAAGAATGGTATAATATTCCCTTGGCAAACATACAGGAACTGTATTTATCCATTCCGAGAAGACTGCAAGCTTTTTTGGATGCCAACGGGTTTCCTACACCATATTGAGCAAAGAAACATGTTTTTTTAAAGGTGTTTCCATATTTTTGTCCAACCCCTGTATTTACTCAATGTTAAATTGACTTGCCCCCGTATTCGTACTTTTCCGGCATAGCTTGACTTTTGCGTTACATTACACAGAAAAGTACAACAATTGCACATATAGTTGCACTAAATTTATCTATCTATGTACAGAAATTCGTAACAATATTACGAATGTTGAATGAAAAGTTTCAAGCCTAATTACTTTATTCAGAATCAAATGATTCAACGAATCCTAGATTTTTTATGTTTCGAAGCATAATCTTCCGCAATGCATTACAGTTTTTTGCCGCATTTTAGGAACCCTATAAAAATATGAAATAGAGTGTTTTGTGACATCCCTCTACTTCCTCCACAGAGGCGTCGTCCGAAACACCCGTGCATTCAGACATCTGCAAGTTGCCCGAACGCCTGCGTCCATTTTCTACCTGGCGCTTTTCCCTGTCATATTAGTGCATGGCTCACTGGTTCCGGAAGTTGTTAAATAACATGACAGTCATTCTTTTGAAGCGACAAAAAGTAGCTCCCTTATTTAATCCTCCCACCTTTCCTCTACTTAAGCGTTAACCTTTAACTAATGCTTAAGCGTTAGCTTTTAGCTATTGATGCTGGCAGCTGAAAACCTGTCCTAAGGAGAAACTGCACAAAGCGGGTGAAAACCACCCAATTCCCATGAGAGAATTAATCTCTTTACTTAAATAGGTTATTATTAAAGCTGCAGCCTTCTACATGGCATAGGGAAATAAATCCCTTCCAACAAAAATTGGTATACATGGGCGTTTCAGAGGAAAAGATTTTGACTTCTACTGTGCGAAAGGCGTTTTTATTTTACTTATCTAAAGAGAAATTCTTTCAACGTTGAGAATGTCCAGCAATTGCATGGAAAAATGTCAGCTTTATATGTATTCTCCAGCTCCCCCATTTTTAAGTAGTGTTGCAAGTGTCACGCAACAGCAACAATGCAAATGGGCATTGCCCTGAAGCAAACACTACTGTTCCTTGAGCAAATCCAGTCCTTCCTCGAGCCTCCATGCAAATGGGTTGTAAATTATCGTATGTTAATTAATCAGTTATTATGATTTAAATCCTTACTGTTTATGTTACTGTATCCTTACTGTACTTACCTCAATGCAAATGAGCTTTCTGTGTATTTAGAGCAGAGATTTTGGCAATCGCATCTTGCTGTTAGTATTTTACGCTAGATCTTCTTAATCCTCTCCCTGATGCACCCGAGTGCCCTGAAGACCCGAGTGTCCTCCGATGATTGCCCTGAAGCAAACACTACTGTTCTTTGAGCAAATCCAGTCCTTCCTCGTGCCTCCATGCAAAGGGGTTCTAAATTATCGTATGTTAATTAATCAGTTATTATGATTTAAATCCTTACTGTTTATGTTACTGTATCCTCACTGTACTTACCTCAATGCAAATGAGCTTTCTGTGTATTTAGAGCAGAGATTTTGGCAATCGCATCTTGCTGTTAGTATTTTACGCTAGATCTTCTTAATCTACTCCCTGATGCACCCGATTTATTTCGCGATGAGAAAACCACCACATAGTGATTACCCCGAATATACTCGGTGTCCCCAAACGTTTAACATATGATTAGCCCGAGCGCTAGAATTAAATACTAAGCGACCGCCAGCAGTCAGTGCTACAAAAGAAGTAACTACAGAAACTTACAACTTCAAGGTGTTAAAGGTTCTATAAAAGAACAAAGCTGTCGTCTGTTCTTCGGATGCTTTAGAAGCTGTTTGGGTTGCAACGCCGCAGAGTTCAGGTTGAATAGAATAGGCTTCTCCTTCGCAAAGAAGGGAAATGCAGCGTCAGGCAGGAAAAGTAACTTTATTTGAAGCTGACGAAAAAATATTTCAGACCAGTTTTTACTGTGACTGCTTACCACTGCAGAAGGATATTCATTTCTTTGCCCTACCGTTTAAGGAAGTAAAAGTTATAGACCAGCTTTAACATTCTCGCTAGCTGATGCTTTAAACACGCCCGGTAAAATAACTGAGCTAACTTAAATTACCTAGTGTTTTGTCTAGTCTCTGAATGCGTTTGAACTGAAATTTGTTAATTTAAACCTCCCCAAGTGGCTGAAGATTCGTCTGCATCGTAAGTTTTGGCTTTATGCTCAGTTTAAGACGTTATTTTAACTTTCTGTGGTTTTTGTGGGTTGTTTAAGACGAAGTGAAAACTCGTTATTGCAGAACTTTAGCTTCAAATTACAGCAAGTACAGGCAGAAGTCAGGTATACCTCTGCAGTACCAGAACTGATTGAAGTATTGCTGAACTTTGCTAACTCTCAGACTTTCGCCCAGTTTTGACGGATAATTTCTCGAAAGGTGGTGCAGAGAACTTCCCACCACTCTTTCTCTACCACAAGCTCTCGAAAGGACTTTCGACTCATCGCACATTTTGAGTGCCCCCTTGCCGTGCAGAGATTATACGCTTACAAACATCCGTCCTTTTCCAGGATTCGGTAAGGCAGTTTTTAGGTCATCTGCATGATCTTCAACTGCATATAAATTAACAATGTTTATATCCATAACTGCGACAGTTTGGCTTGCCAGAATAGACTAGATGGCTCTACCACTGAAATTTTGAATCATTGTTAAGGTTGAATCACCATATGCATGCAAATGCACCACAATATTAAAATATATTAGTTAACGTTCTTTTGAAATCGAAATTACACTTGTGCTATATTTTATGCGAGACGCTTTCCTCATCCTTTTTCGCTCGCTGTAATCAAATACTGAAGATCATAACTTTCCAAATGCACAATTAACGGGTTAATGTGTGAAGTTCACTAAACCCAGCACAGGATCGCTAAGCTTTTATCTGCATAGAAAATAGAAATGGTCTTAATACGTTTTAACCAGCCAATGCAGTTTCTTTATAATCTAGCCATTACTGCTTGTATCAAATTTAATACTTTTGCAAGGTTTTATGATAGTAATGCCTCTAATTACGATGTGTGTTAATGATATCTCTCATTTTATGAAATAGAATAATACCTACTGTTTAACATTTACATAAGAATCGGCACATAAGATGTTTGCAAGTTCGAGATATTTACTGCATCATGAAGTAGAATGTTGATTAAAAATAGCAAGTCACAAAACTATTTTTTGCTTTCTGATACAAATGAAAATATTGTATATACACAGTAGACGCCTACAAAGGTTCAGAATTAAGTTCATATAAAATAGGAACTGAAAGAAAACAACATAATCAACGTGTTTTTACAGCCTTTACGATATCGATTCTTGCATGTCTAGACAACTCTTGGCACATTCATGCAAGTACTTTTTTCCTTCGCAGAAGTTTTTTTTTTAGAATACTATTTAAACTTCTCGTTGTGCTTTTTCGAATCTTTTCAGTGGTATCAAAATAACGAACTTTAGGGAAGAATAAATCGTTTGCAGGTGCCACATTTGTTTATCATGGAGAATGGTTCTTGCTACAAACTGGCTGACTAGAATCGAATTATGTGATGGCGCCTTGACGGCATCAGAAACCAGTTATTCCATTGAGTGTTTTAGGCCTAAATCAGTGAATTCTCTTCCGAAATCTGTCCATTATACTAATATAAAATGCCCTCTGTCTTCAGAAATAAATTCTTTATGAATTATTTTTCAGTCAGAAACAGTCATCAAGATTGTCTTTATCCGAGAATGTTAAGTGCAAAGGTTCTCTGGCCATGATGAATCTTTTGCCACCGAAGTAGACAATAGCTATTTTGTCTAAGGATCTTAAGCAGAATTATAAGTTTCATCTACAGACACAACGCTCTTTAAAAATGAGGATTTATGTTAGGCATTTGCGCAACATTTTGCTTTAGCTTTCGAATCTTTTTGGACTGCTTTTCACTGGTTCAAAACAAGTAATTACTGCATAGAAAATTCTTTCCGTAAGCAGATGATAGTTTAGCAAAAACAAGTAGAGATGCGATAGTAATAAATGCTGTTAACTATAGCTTGCTAGATTTGCTAGAATGTGTTAAAATTAGTCTTAGAACATCGTAGATGTACAGTATATTTTAAACTGAATTATTGAATTGTTTCTTTTGTGTGCAAATCTCAAAACAAATGTCTTAAGAGTTCTTACACTTTTGCATATGCATGAGAAAAATAATCACTCGGAACCGGATGTTGCTGAAACGGTTGTTGAAGGGGTGGTATTTAGCGAATGAATAAAGAAAAAGAAAAGCGGGAAGAGGAAACGAGATGTGCCACTCACGTCCACGTCAACATCCCCAATTTCGAAGAACTGATTAGCGGGTCTGTCGTTCGGAAGAAAGCGGAAGAACTCCACTTCGTCTTTGTACCACTTGACCGAGTACAGATCGTCCTGCTCCTCGTCAAAGACGCAGACCAGCCTTGCCACATCCCCTACAACGATGGACTCCGGCACTTGAAGAGCTTTCAAACGAAGAGCCCAAGCACCTGAAATGAGAAGAATTAATTACTAAATTTTCTGAAGTTGAATGAATTAAAACAGTTAAGCCAAGTATAAGATTGAATCTATACTATTAAAATCTGTGCACGTCTCTCTGTGTGTTTGTTTGTTAATGACGTCATCGTGTCTAGAACAGCGGGCAGTGGAGTTTCGAAACAGGTATCCCTAGATTCCAAAACTTCTTGGGAAACCATTTTGATTTTCGTACGACTATAATCAGAAGAGATATTAATTAAAAACTCCGAAAACGCTAATTTTCGTCCTCATATTTCTGAGTGGCAACAGTCTCGCTCGTTAGAGATAAAAAAATATGCTCTATTTCGAAAAGTTTTACAACTGCTCGCTTTCAGATCGTAGAGTTTATTAATAAAAATGTGTAAGGTTTACAAAATTATTATTATATGCCATCATATTCTGACGTTGAAGAAAGCATGTGACGTCACTGTTTGTCGAAAAGGTTTCGCCAATGTCTGCATTTTAAATAAATAGCTGCTGTTGTCAACCTTTTTTTTCAGGTTAGGATAATTGTCACGATATGTAATTGCCACGTTAATTCTTTTATTGATTTTAAAAAGAAGTTTTACTAGATTAAAATTAAATTATGAGCCATACGTATTAACCTGAAGTGTCAAACGTTTTTGTTTCCTGGTTTGGCAACAAAAAATTATTTACGAATTGGTTTTTACTTGAAAAGAATGAAGTGATTTCATTCATATTGCAATGTTTCTGTGAATTCCTTTTTCTTTCAGGGTTACATAGAACACGTACATTTTATTTTGGCAGCAGTTCGCTCGTCTGGCGAGCTTTCACGCTAGTTATAGTAGTAAAACTGTTTGCTAAGACAATGCATGATAAATGGAAGCGTATGATTAGTATTCGTAGACTCACGATCATCGCTTTCAGTGTACTTAAGCAAGTTTTATGTAATTTTCAATTAAATGAAGAGCATATCTAATTTTCAATTTACATTTTCTTCAACATTATAGCCTAAGTCTAAATGAAGGTATTTCGAACAAAATCAGCAGTAAAAGCAATTTAAAAATACTTCTCTTTTAGTGCTAAAGTTAGAGATTCAGAGCTTAATGATCTTACAGTGGGTTTAATTCTTGAGAAATTTGTAACAGCTCTCTTGAAGCTAAATATTATTTGAAATAGCGCTCTAAATATTATTTGAAAGCAACATGTATAAAATGCTATAATATTTTATTAAAATTAAAAAAAAAATTCAGAGCCCAATAAGTACTACATTGATGGTAATTGTTGGTCACTCGGTTACTATTTCAAATTTTCTTCGGATAAAATTGCATTAAGTCCTTAAACTTTCAGCATATTTCAAATCTGGCATCTGAAGTTAAAAGTCTGTTTCAAGTATGTTTCCAGAAACTACACTCTTCCCTTTGTTTTTGCTATCTGACTGTTTATATGTTATACTTAATGCAACTATGAAAAAGAATTAAGAGCAGACTAATCTTTATGCGAAGAGGAGAAACGACGCTAATTTGTCTCTCAAAATGCATTGAGCTTTCTATTTCATATCATTTATAATCTAAGGCTGAATTTTGTTAGTTGTTAATGCACTTTTGTTCTGCTATATATGTTATCTAACTTGCATATAACGGTATGTATAACAATTTATATATATGTTAAATTCAGTTATACAATTATTTGGTCTGTATTTAAGTTTTAAAATGCTGCCTTAATTTTGCTTACTAATCGCATTATATTTTATCAGTCAACAAAAATGCCCAAAAACCATGCGATGAGGCAAGCTGCAGCAAAGTCTCGAGGCAATCTGCAACACCGTAAAACTTGCCCCGAGATTTTGATTCATGTATTTAGACTATTCTTTAAATATTAACATGAAAATGATTTTTTTTTCCTCAGAACATAAAAATCGATTTTTCACGCTCAAAGATTAAACCTCTACCTAAGACTTCACCTCGGAAAAAGCGAAATATATCATTCTAATTGACACACTGAATAAAAGCACTGTTGAAAATAGGAAGAAGCACTTGTTTAGAAATGAAAAACGAACGAAATGGTAAAAGAAAGGAAAGGAGAAAGTTTAAAGAAAAACAAAAAATCCAAAAAGAAAACGAAAAGATAATGGATGAAGAAGAATATTTTGAATTCTGATACAGATTCTGAAACACAAAAGTTAAGACGTTTATAAATATTCTGCTGAAGACGAATGCCTGCAATGTTGAATTTGTAAAATGTGAGCAAGCGTTAGGTGTGTAACACGAAATAATCTATCATTTTTTTGAGGCATCTGAAATGCTGATGAAGACAAGTTGAGGGCTAATGCTAGCAGACGAAGAGTTTTGATAAAATATTTTTTTTTCTATTAAATTCAACTAAATTGCCGAATGTTTGTTTTGGGAATATGATGAAGAAACAGTTATGCTATAAAAAGCAGCAGTTATAATCGTAATACATTTAAAATAGACATTTTAATAGTAAACATATTTAAAGATAGAAATTTTTTCAATTCTTTTTATAATTAGCCCTTATCTCGCCTACTGACGATTATTTATTTCAATATTATATTTCCCTCCAAAATTTAACTGGAAAAACGTACTAGCTTTTGTCATTTATTTGAAAGGTAAATACGAAGGAAATTATTACAGTTTTCTCAATGGGAAAAATATAGAACACATGGAAAGAAATGCAGAACTATGGGCTCTTTTTACTTCTTTGTACAAAGTAAAGGAAACATTGAAATCACGAAAAATTCTGGGTATCATATTTAAACGAAAATACCCATTTTGACCACTATGGAATGCAATTTAACGATTTTTTGCGTGACATCTGCACGTAAGGACGGAATAAAGGACTCGTTTTTCACAAAACGGATTTAAAATGGATTCAGAAAAGATTTTTTTCATGGCATCTGTACGTACTTACGTATATATGTATCTCACATAAGTCAAAAACGAGTAATCTCAGAACGTTGAAATTTTGTATATAGGTGTATATAACTCTTGTATTTTGAAATTTTGTAAATATATATATCCACTCTGTTCCTCGGATCAGTTAGCTCAGTTTTTTATTCTTATATGTTGCTAAATAGTGCATTTTTTACTTTAAAAGGGATTGAATTATGTTATTCTTATCTTCTGGTTCAGGTTTTTATGTCTTTAGTTAATCTGCATGATGAAATATTTATAGAATTATCAACAATTTAAAAGTTATTTAAGTGCGGTTAAACCTATTTTTTTTTTACCATAGCAACTATATTTGTTCACGTTTGAAACATAGCAGAATTGTGAATTAAGTCTTTCTGCACCTTCGGCGTCTTTTTACCGAGTGAGACCAAAAGTAAACTTTCAGTTTTGTGCACCAAAAACCTACATTCTTGCCCGTTGGCCGAATTGCTTGTTTTTGCGTAGAAACTCTAATTTTAATTGTAAAAATTATTTTAACTGTATTTGGTGTTTTGCGTTTTTTTATCTTTCAATTTTCAATGAAGACATTTTGAATTTTTATGTATTTTTTCCTTGCCGTTAAGTGAGAACTGAATTAATTGAGTGAGAAATATATCTCTAATGAAATTGGAGAAAATAAGTTTAAACGAAATGCAGGAAAAAATGCGTGTAATTTAATATTCCAGGCAAAGAAGTCATGTGGTGTACACATCAGATTTTTTCAGAAGCTGAAATGAGTTTTACAACGAGCGAGCATTAAAATTCAATAAAGCAATTCTTTTATTTCTACTCAACATCGAACAATTTTTTTTAAAACTACATTTGAGTTCTTTTGTACAAAAATGCTTATCGTGCTTCAGATGAAAAACTTTTATGAACTGAATCCCTAACCATTTCTAATATTCCTTTCTAAAAAAAATAAATAAAAATGGCTCACTCGAATTAAAAATAGAATAAAAACTACTTCGAAAACTGTCGCAGCTTCGGGCCCGGGCGGGCCTGCGGGTCGCGATAAAAGCGTCTCCCAGCGTCGCGCTTCATTAAAGACGGGATTCGAGGCTCGCATGATATCACGACCCAAAAGCCTTACTTAAGTCATTACGCGCATTAACGCAGAGGCCAATTAAAGGCAGAGAGAAAGTGTGAGCGCCAGCCAAGCGTCGTATCACATTACCCAGGGAACGGGCTGTCTTTTAGAGATTATATTCTTTCGCCCCCACTCTGCTCCCTCAACACCTATCGGCACTTTGTTAAGGTAATTAAAAAACACGAACTTCTAATGACTCCCGATCAGAAAAGGAAACCAGATCCTGAACGCAGGAATTCTTTTCCTTCTTTTAGCGGTAAACAAGTGAGAAAAATAATTCAGGGCGCCCATTAGGAAACCCATTATAACGCTTTAAATTCATAAATTACTTCGAAATTCATACGAAGACTCAGGTTTTTTTTTGTTTTCCAGGGCAGGCTCAAAACGAGGAAGGCAGTGTTGCTCTGTTGTTGAGTTGACTCAATTGCGACGAGTTGCCTTGTGAAATTACCCGAATAATTCGACGTTATGTCACGTGAGTGTTTCAAAGTGTGACGTAATGGGTACGAGTACGTAAGTAGAGACTCTTCCGATGCCTTTAATTATAACACCAGTTGAAAAAGATCGTTTTACAATTTTTACCTTCTGAATTTTCGGTCATTTTAAATTCCGAGAAATTTGATAGATACGATAAACTGGTTCCAAATTTCTGAGATATTTTCAAAAAAGAATGCTTTGGATTGCAATCTTAACATCCACTGTAAAGCCGGTGAAAAGAATATTTCTGAATGATACACTCGTATAGGAAACAAAATTTCTTTATTCGTGACTCTTCACTGAATGCTTCCTATAGCGAACATGGACTCATAAGCCAGTCTTAGGATGCTACAATAGCTACAGAAGGTTGTTATTGTCTTGTCTATTATGGATTATCTCCTTTTATGGAAGAATGGATGACATTAATTTTTGAAAGAATAGAAGAATGGTTTTTAAAATGGTTGACGGAGCCTCAAAGAGGTTGGACCTGCTGCTTCCAACATCGAATTCGAAT